AAGAGTCTAGGAGTATTTTTTGTATTTTCAATGAATAAATTAAGGTTCATATGGTCGATTATATTATTAATCAATGCTAAAAGGTGAATTTCTTAATATGTGAAAAAACCGTCAAAAAATCATTTAAAGTGGATCGGATGGAGTATTACATTAGAGATCAACAAAAGGAAACGAAGAATAATTAAACTCATACTACCTATTATGTGGGAGATACTTCCACTAATTCCATTAAACTGTAAATTTTGGTGATAAATATCTTAACCTAGCTCCCAGCAAATATTAAGCGTAGATTTTTCTTTTTTTTCCTCAGTTGTTAGTATATATATCAACCATTAGATATGGTATTATGTCAAACTGGAAAACAGCCTAGATTTTACTAATTCGTTGTATGTTTTCATAATCATAGAGTAATTGGCAAAATTTTAAGTTCTTGTATCTAAAGAAGTAACGTACTATAGTCTGTTAATTTTGGATAATACATCTATTACTAAAGTGAATGTCAAAAAAAATTTCTTCTAGTCAGATCCTATTAAACCAACATGGCATCATGTGACATAACCTTTGCTTAAGCCTTACAAGCCGGTAGTCATTAACTTGTTATATAATTGTGGTTATGCAATAGAAAATAGTGGTAAACATGTGATATATATAATACTGAACAAGTATGTTTAATATATCATAGTTAATTTGGTTTAGCTATCCAATCCCTTGATCCATTCTTACAAAGGAAATGAGAAAGCTGGCAAAAAATTTGAGTAGAGCTTACCCAAACACTAGTTGAAAAAGAACAAGAAGACAAAAACAGATTGAATAACCCTATTTATTATAGTAGTAGTTTCTTTTTTAATTCCTTTAATGCAAGCAAAGTGAGGCACGTCTCATTTCCGAAAGTCCATATATACATTTAATTTTAAATGTAAACTTGCAAATTTGGACGAATTAATAACTTTTCATAAATTTGTTGTGACTCATAATTACAAACTTTACTAGCTGGCTGCCCCAAAATTCAAAATGAACCAAAGTTTTGACCTTTTAACCAATGATAGCTGTACACGGCTGAATAGGGGTTGTCCCACAATAATTTTGATTGGTTACATATGATTATGATCATCAAGTTCCTTGTATAATGGTAGTTGCACATGATTTCGAATCAACTTAACTTATCTTAGCTAGCTAATACAGGAATTATTAATTAAGGGTTAGTTAATCATGACTAAAACAAATAAAATATTGAGTAGGTGAAGAGGCTTAAATGAGGGACCCAAATTGCCCTAACATTATTTGTAAATAATAGGATATTAAAATTGTAATTTATTGGTAATTTGGTATTGGGTAGCGATTAGGGATTTTATATTTGCTCTTTAAATATGTTATCAAGTTGTCTTAGAGCTTTTAATGAACTTTTTGAGTGATACGTGTCCCCACATGTTGTACGTGCAAGTCATGGCGTCACATGAAAATATGTAGTATTAACGTCATTGATGAGATTAAGAATCTTTATCTGTTGCTTCTGCTATCTTATCTCTTGTTTATGATAAATTAACTTTGTCGAAAATGCCAAGTATAAATATATTTAAATGTATGACCTAAAGTGAAAGCTTGCTAAAAGTCGATCTGCACTTGATCTCTTTTTTGTTTTGGCAGTCATATAAAGCTTTTGTTGAATCAAATTTGGTAAAAGGCCCTACCATAATTTGAATGATTTTAAACTTTATCCCCCGTCAACATAAAAAGAACATATTTCAAAAATTGAAAAAGGATCTTCACATAGATTAGTATAAACTAGTAATTACATACAGTATACCATATTATATACTCCCTCCGATCCATATTACTTAGTTGTTATGTTTTTCTTTTGCACACCCCTTAAGAAAATATTAAATACAAAGGATAATTTAACTAAATTTCCTTATTTATTTTTTGATCTCAATTAATACTATTCTTAATTTCACTACATTAATTAATACTGCATTTATTAGAGTAAGGATAAAGGTAGGAAAAAATAACTACTTTTATTTTGTTCTAAAATGACAAGTATTTTAGACCAATTATTTTTAGTAACCACTACAAGAAAATAAATTGAAGAGCGTATGGATTATTTACATATATTATATATTTGTCGGCTATATTTCGATGTGCTTCGTTAAAAGGGGGAAGTGCACGGTTGGCAACTAATAATACATGTATTTACTTTTAAGCCACTGTTTAAAATGTCTTTAGTCTTTAGCCACTGCTTTAATAAACTTTAATTGCCCGGACGAAAATACCCTTCTGCTCATGTCCTTAACTTTTGTACTTGCAGCTTGTTTGGATGGTTGTTACGTATCGTTTCATAATGTATCGTATCGTATTGTATTTATTGTACTGTATCGTTTGATGAATACAATATTTGGATGGATTGTGTCATTTTGGCGTCGTTTCATGGTATCACGCACCTGTGATATGATGAATAAACTTGCAATATTATAAAGAAAAATTATGATACGGTATATAAAAAGGTAGGGTAAATGATAAAATAAAATTATTTAATAATAATGAAGGGTGAGATTGAGAGAAAAACACAAGGAAACGACGCGACCACACCAAATCGATCGTTACATAAAGTGGCACATTTCATCGTAACATAACGACGGATTTAATGATACGATACAATAAAATTTAAGTAACAATCAAAACAAACATTATATTTAAAGTAACAATACGATACAATACGATAGGTGACAACCATCCAAACAAGCTGTTAACTTCAGGACTTCAGGACTACATGTCCTTAACTTTTGAACTTGGAACTCTAAGTTCAGGACTTCAGGACTACATGTCCTTAACTTTTGAACTTGCAACTCTAAGTTTAGGACTTCAAGGCTACATGTCCTTAACTTTTGAACTTGGAACTCAAACTTCAGGACCAAACGTCCTTAACTTTTGAACTTGTAACTGTAAGTTAAGGACTGCTTGTCCTTAACTTTTGAACGTGTAACTGTAAGTTAAGTACTGTCTGTCCTTAACTTTTGAACTTGAAAATCAAAGTTAAGGACCTATTGTCCTTAACTTTTGAACTTGTAACTGTAAGTTAAGGACTGTCTGTCCTTAACTTTTGAACTTGTAACTATAAGTTAAGGACTGCCTGTCCTTAACTTCAGAACTTGTAACTGTAAGTTAAGGACTGTCTGTCCTTAACTTTTGAACTTGTGTCCTTAACTATTGAACTTAACTTTGGAATTCAGGACTACATTTCCTTAACTTTTGAACTTGAAACTCTAATGTTCAGGACCATGTCCTTAACTTTTGAATTTAACTTTAGGACTTCAGGACTACATGTCCTTAACACAATTATCTTTGTCCTCAACTTTTTGGCTTTTTACCATATTTTTCCAAATTATCTGTCGTTTAAGAAAATTTAAAAGTCACTTCTTTTAGAAAACCAAAAGTTACGTCTTCCCACGCTGTGATTATTATGAGTAAAACCAAGCAATTCAACTCCTGAAAGCAGACACAAAAGAAAATGAGAGGCTTATAAAATTTATATGATTAATGCATTTCGTTTCTTCTGTTCAAAATTGGGTTTCATATATGAAAATAATGGAAACACTCATACGGACCCCAGAACGCCATTGCAGAAGGAGAAGTGGAGCTGTAAGGAATGGATCTGAAAATGGCGTATTTCCGTTTGGGAAGGAAAAGGTAATACTGCCTTTTCATATTAATTTTAATAGACTAGTGGCTACTTTTGCTCAGCATTAAAAATACGGATAAAGTAAATACCACTTTAAAAAGTGGCTACCCCACACAATTTTTACTCGTTAAAATGTGTTGACACTAAATATGTATCGCAACTAAAGACAAATGGAGGATAAAAAGTCGGTCAAATTACGTGTTGACATCATTAGTGTATAAGATTTAAAGTTGTCCTGCTATGCTAAGATCAAAATACCAATCCATAAGTCTCCAATTATTAATCAAATTGTTTACCATATAAATAAGCTCTCGACAATTATATGTTGATTTACTCTCCTATTAGAATATAGGTAGTGTCTAGTACTAGGTAGTAGGTATATTCTGCAACTGGTCATCTTTCTACATTTCAAAAGTAGAAGTTGATTTTTGCTGTCCAATTTATCCATTTCTTCATTTCTTTTCTTTTTTTCCCTAAATAATGTACTAGCATATTTGACCAAGCTTCTAAATTTAACTTATTTTGAAAAGTAATTTCTCAAAAATGCTTTTTAAAAGAATATTTATGGTGAGAAACAGTTTGTGTTTGGCTAATTAATTTGAAAAGCATTCTTGAGCAGCAATTAGAGTTTGACTAAACTTTTAAAAAGTACTTCTTAGTATATTTATTCGGAAGTCATTTTCAAAAAAGTATTTTTGAAAAGAAACTTTATTTTTTTGCTTCTCAAAACTACTTCTATTTCTACTCAAAAACACTACTTTTCTTCTAAAAGCTTGGCAAAATATCTCAACTTTAGAAAGAAAAAAAACATTTTTGGCCCAAAAAAAAGAAAGCACTTTTGGCAACAAAAAACAAAAAACGCTTTTGACCAAGCAGGCTAATAAGAAATTGGAGTTGGATTCAGCTAAAAATGACATTGACACTATATGCACAGATTGTTCATAGAGACATCCTCCCAAAGTTTGATTAAGGTCTTATGTCTAATCTGATTGCGACAAGTAATAAGTTGCCTTCGAATTTCTAAACTAATAAATTGTTTTTCAAAGGTCCTTTCTGCCAGGATTTCGCTTATGTAACAAATAACAATTGATACCTATCGCTAGATGCAATAGAAATTTTAAAATTTTCGAGTCAGATTAATAGCTCAAGTCAATTGGTATAGTCAAGAAAGTTTCCCTTTACAAGGGTAAAGTATTTGGCATGTAGGTGCGTTAAATTTTGAAAGCATACTCTTAAGTAAGAAAATTATGATCAGTGAGTAATACGTGTCTCTAAATTTATGATGAAATAAGTACTTTTAAAATAGTCAAGATATGTAGAATTCAAGTAATTGAAAAGAGAAAAAGAATGATTCAGTAAGTTAAAGCCATAAGAGGTCTACACAAGTGTTCCATTAGACAAGGTTTTCTAACATTGACATTCCTTAGTACCAACCAACTTAAAAGGCAGCTCTTGTGATCAAAACATAAAGGTAGTCTTGAAAATTTTACACTATCAGTTTACCTAGAACGGGAAATAGCAGCACAGATTACCTCTAGGTTGAACAGCAACCAGTTTTCTTGACATCAGATACTTCTTTACCTATATCAATCTTTTCTCCTTGGGAAGGGACGTTTGCATTTCCATTCTCACCATTCTCCATCGCCTTTCTGCTAACAACATGGTAGATTTGAGTGAGAACTTCAGCAAATGCATTATCGACATTGGTAGCTTCGAGGGCAGAAGTTTCCATGAAGTAGAGGGATTCCTTTTCCGCAAAAGACTTCCCATCCTCAGTTGAGACTGCAACCAGATGTCGCAGATCAGATTTGTTTCCGACAAGCATGACAACGATGTTGGGATCAGTATGATCTCTCAGCTCCTTAAGCCATCTCTCAACACTCTCAAATGTGGAATGTCGAGTGACATCATAGACAAGCAAAGCACCTACAGCACCTCTGTAGTAGGCACTGGTGATGGCGCGGTACCTACAGAACAGAGAAATACAACCGTTACCATTTCTGTGAGCGTTAAAGAAACATTGCCAAATAATGTAGAAGACAAATGTAGCTTAGTCTAAGTTACTAACAAGAAAAACCTTGTCAGTAAACATGTAATGACATCACTTGGAACGGGAATCACATTATGCAACTATTGATGACAAAATGATGCTTTTATTTATATTTTTGATGAAAAGGCAACATGATAATTCTAGGGCCAATATATATTTCCCAGTCCTTTTTTGAGGCATCAGAAAATAAGTTGAGCACAATCTCATATAGTTTCAAATCCTCTAATATATCCACTGTAATAGACAAAAAAAATTGCATCTCTTGCCCCTTTTTGCCACCCTCCTTACCCAAATAAAAGAAAAAAGAAAAATTGAACCTGATGGACCGCTTTACATCTAAGAGAAAAAGGGCAGCCCGGTGCACGAAATATCCCGCGTTCACGCAAGGGGGTGTGATATAGGCAGCTAACACTGATGCAAGCTTTAGTGGCTGATCCCATGGCTTTACAATCTAAAATGGTTCTGAAACAGAGTATTATTTAGCAGAGTACATGTCCATCTCTAATGATGACTGTTAGCCATATGACAAACAAAAATGGGCAGAAATCTCATGACTAGATGGAAAAAAAGGAATTGCTTTCCTATAGTACGAGAGAGAGAGAGAGAGAGAGAGAGAATTAAACATAATACTCCATACATCCATTTTATAGGATTTTATTAGGCTTGACTGAACATGGAGTTTAAGATGTCATCTTATAGATTAAACTAGCAATACTGGAAGAAGAACATCATATTAGTGATTGGAAGGTTGGCTTGATAGAGAAAGCATCACATAAATTTATGATCTGAATAGTCCACAGAATTTAAACCATTAAAAGTTGTTAAGAGTGCAGTGCACAAGTGAGCAACAACAAAGGTTACCTAGATCCTTTACATACATAAAAGTTGGTACTAGATAGTAGATAGTTCTTGCATCTTCGGTTACAATACTGATAGCGGCCAAAGCTTGAAGGTGGTTCTCAGTATCATGGGATTTAGCTCTTGAGACTCGCTAGGCTGGCAATGGAAAGATGAGGGGAAAAAGCGGGAAATACTTAACAAAGCTCCCTTTTCTCATTTTAGGTTAGGTTAAACTACTGGTCATGGCATCCACATGTGCTATTTCTTGACTGGTAGAAGAGTATAACTAACAATCAGTCAACCAAACATGCCTCTAGTAAACTAAGAACTGTATAAGCTTACAACAATGTTGGGGAAGTGAAAAATGAAAACACATAATATGTGAATAAATTAGAGACTAGAGTAGCAACCGAAATGTCCAATTAAAAGTGTGAAATCAGGAATTGGCAAAGTGAGATTAACAGAATATCAATTATGAGCAAATAATCAAATAACCATTTCTATATTCTATTTCTATCAACTCCACCCCAATTATATAAATCTAGGCCAATAATCAAATCACCATTTCTATATTCGATTTCATATGAGCTTCATCCCGATAATAACTGACACATTCAACCTCAAGCATAATTACAGGGAATAATATGTCCCTCTTGATGCCAGGTAAATTGCAACTAGTTGAGTTCTGCAATAAACAAATAACTAACCTAGACATCTATTTCATTTTCTAATAAGCTAGAAATCTTCAACAATAATGGACAGATCTAGGACTAGAATTAGTAGAAGTCCTTGAAACAACGGAGATTCATGTTACTAAACGCACTGCGTAATCTAATTTGTATCAGCATTCCGTTCCAACCACCCCCTCCATTCCCCCACCCTCCCTTATCACAAGGAAGAAATCAGAACAGATAAAAAAAAATTTAAAAAAAAAACATATCACTTTCTCCTTCATATTATTTGTGATTGTAATTATCAGGTTATCCATTACCTAACGAAAGAAAAGGGGAAAAAGAACAAGATAGTCAGACAATAGGCTCATCATCCAAACACATGCAAAAAAATTAGAATAGCATCACGATGTCCTTATCCTAAATATGACACTTGAACCACCAAATCTGTGATGCCACCACAATATCTAGCAAGGTAACCCCATCCACCCCACCCACAGCTAAAGTAGTAAACTCTATGTCAAACTGATATCAGAAACAAATAATTTTTGGAGACAATCCTTTGAATCAATCCCTCTGTTTCAGCCCTCTAATTCTTTTTTTGTTATCCATCTGTCACAACATTTGTGACAATTGTTTTTAGCCCTCTCATTTCTCTTTATGTCAATAATTAATGTTAGCGAATATTTTGTGTTGACGAAAAGGAAATTTGGAATCAGAGGGCACGTATTTGTTGATGTAGGAGTCAACACATACGTGCACTATGCAAGGCGGTAGATGAGGAGGATCGGCCAAGATGAAAGTAGCATGTAAAGCTATCCCGCTGTGCCTTTTCACACCATCTGGAATCAGAGGTATCAGATTCTAAATGAGTTGTTGAGTTAGAGAGTGGAAAGTTGTTGGAGGTCAAAATACCCGCATAAAAGAATGATTAGTTCGATTGTCTTGATTCTATGCTTTTTCTTTTCTAAGGAAAAAAAAACCTTTTTAGAAGGATCCAATGAAGAAAACTTTAGAGAAGTTGATTCAAAGGATACATTTAGCATGATAATAAACATGTTCATTCAGCCATCTATTACGAACAGCTTTTTAAGATTAAAACTGTAGGGAAAGTTTGAGAAAGTCTTAGTAACAAAAATGTTTGATCGTGCAAGAATAATGGTGTCATATAAAATGGGACTGAGAGACTAACACTTTCATCTTCCCACAGAACACTACCGTTGAACATAGCTTGGAAACTGGTCTACTTAAATTCAACCTTTTTGCCATTACCAATACAGAAACTACCATTTATACCAAAATTAATAGCATGACACAATCTTCCATGCCTATACCAAAGCATCAGAATGCAGCTGCACATGGCTAATAAATCGTGGTACATGCCTGGTGAGATTGTTACTAAAATTCTTCTAATAAAAAGGTACTAATCAGCTATTACTACCTTTCAAAAAAGTTGTCGTATCTTGGACATGTTCCATGAATACATCAGTCACAAACATCCTATGATTGCAATGCAATAATGGGCACTGCACTGCATTTAACTTGACGCCAGCTATATATGAATGAGCTCACAGAATGAAGAGAAAATTTTAAAGCAAAAAAGTCTGAAACATTTGCAAGTTCACTAAAGTGTAGCATAGAAGAATTTATCATAAAGGTGATAAATTTGACGCTTCCTTTTTGGGCAACAGTCACGGTGGTCCAACAATTGTGTGTACACACACGGAAATTTTACCATAGAAAGGAAGTCAATTGAGTGTAAAACTAAGAAAGCAAGATGTGGCAGTACATCCAATACATCTAGGGAAGATCTACCTCCAATCTAAAGCAAACATCAAAATATCAAAACACCCCACCACTCCAGATCAAAAATCCAATATACACCAGATCTATTTGAAATTCCTACATTTAAACCAGTAAAGCACAACACAGAGATAGCATATCATACTCACATTGCCCAAACCAATCACTAAAAGCTAATGTCAACAAAATTCAGATCAGGGCTTTGCAATTCTTGAACATAAAGTAAAATTCAGATCAGGGCTTTGCAATTCTTGAACATAAAGCACATGTCTTTCCCAAATCTAAATACACACACACACTAGAAATGCCCAAGATACATCAGATCAGAGAAGAATTCAATGCAAGACATTAAAAAAGAATCAAAATAGTACCTTTCTTGGCCAGCAGTGTCCCAAATTTGAGCCTTGATGACTTTAGTATCAACAGTTAAGCTTTTGGTAGCAAACTCAACACCAATAGTAGATTTCGACTCAAGGCTAAACTCATTCCTTGTGAATCTTGAAAGCAAGTTGGACTTGCCAACACCTGAATCACCTATCAATACCACCTTGAATAGGTAGTCATAGTCATCTTCAGTTCTGTACCCACCCATTACTTACTCTCGAAATGTGAATGCCTCAAACCACTGTAAACTTTAGTATCCAATCTTTTCTCTCTTTTTTTCCCTTACCCTTTTCTTTTTCCAATTAGCAGTGTAATTTTTTGACCCTTTTTGGTGGAGAAGGAATCTGGGGAGACGTATGTCTATTAAGCTCTGGCTTCCAAATCCACAGAGCAAATATAGGAAAAGGGAACTTTTTGAAAGGCGGAACTTCGAAAAGACAGAAGAGCCCCTTTAGACTGTGGAAATTTAGGTCATGTGGTTGACTATTTCAGGTAATTTAGCTAAGATATGGGGGTAGTATTGTCTTTTAATCGAGAATGGTCTGATTATGACTCCCACATTTTATGGGGTGTACTAAACATGTTTGAAAATTGAAGATAAAAAGGTGATATTTTGTCGTTTAAAATTATCAACATTTAATTGATAGAAGTAATTAACGTTAAGAGAAATTTTTGTAACGGAAGAAAAGAATATTTTGCACCTACATCCCTCAACTTTTTGAATACCACTTAAGTATTAAAAGGATAATGTACGGTTTACTATACAAAAAGGTAAAGAGAAAAATGGTTAAGAAAAGCAAAAACAGTTGAGGATTGGACTCTCAATTTGAAGCGCTTTAGAATTGAACTGTATTCATTTCATACGTGATTCAATTTATTTCTTAAAAAAGTAAAGAGAAACTTAAAAGATGACAAGTTAATAGCAAGTCTGCAAGTGAAACATTGAGAGAAAACTCAATTCACAGGATGGTATAGCTTAGATTGGCTTGTTTTGCTATATAATAAGTTAAGCATAAGGATTAGCTACATTTGGATTACAATCTTTAAGTCTGGATTAAAATCTAGATTGCCTAGTTAATGGTAATTAGTTTTCAACACTTCAAGTCTAAGTTAAAACCTCAATGATGAAACCAACTTTGAAGACCTCAAGTGCAATTACAAACTTGCCAAATCGACATATTTGGGCTCTTAGAATGGGCTTTCAGTTCAAGTTTGGCAGGCTTCGTTGCAGGAAAGCTCAATTCCAATTACTATTGGGCTCGATTTGTAAAATACCGAGCGGCCTTATGTGTAATTTTCCTTTATTTAATCCTTTCAATTGTTTTACTTTGGCAAAATACCTTATCACCCCCCTAAATTTGTCATGAATTATTAGTTACCGCCTTAAACTATTCGTGGTCTTAATTACCCCCCTCAACTAGGCCTTTAGAGAACCATTACCCCCTGGACGCTAATGTGGCAAATTCTTTTAAATTTGACTTGAAAATAAAGATTTATACAGTTGAAATAAATAGTCAAGGCATCTAGAAAGTTATAAAAATACATAGTTTGAAATTAATTATTTTGGCTATAATTTTTTATATAGCTCTAAATTATGGTTGCTCAAAAATAAACTTTTTACATATTTTACCCGAAAAAGTAAAAATACACAGTTGAAATAAATAGTCATTGCATCAAAAGAAGAAATAAAAAGATTGAACAATTGCAAGAAATAACTTACTCTATGGAAACATTTTTTTTAGCAATAAAAAAGTAACATACTTAAAAAGGTAAAAATATATTTGATTTTTCAAAAAAATGTCACATATACAGAAAAATCCACGTGGCAGGTGAGTGCACCTACACAATTTACCACATCAGCGTCTAGGGGGTAATGGCTCTCAAAGGGCCTAGTTGAGGGGGGTAATTAAGACCACGAATAATTTAAGGCTATAACTAATAATTTGTGACAAGTTTAGGGGGTGGTAAGGTATTTTGCCTTTTACTTTTACATGACCTTCACGGTTGTATTTTGTTTTTACGTTATAATCTGCCGTGACATATTTTGGTAAAGTTTAAAGAAGGATTTTGCTAGTCTACTACATGTAGGTTAACAGGGTACACAATTTTTATTTATTCAAAATACCCTTATCCCTTATATAATTTTTTACATTCCTATACCATATAGTAAACTATATTACCTTCCATGCTTAACTTTTAATATAATTACCTTTTATATACCTAATTACCATTTATGTATATTTTAGGGGTTTTAATGGTATTAATTAGTCTTATAATTTAACTCTACCGTATATTCCCACTCCCCCCCAAGTTTCTCTCTCCAAATCTCACCCTCTCACCCACGTACAAACCACACCCCACGATTTCCTCTTCAATCACCCACTATTTTCTCTTCTAAAACCAGCGAAAATCTGTAACCCCTCCACCATTGACAATCATTAAAAAGCTTTGAAGCTTTGAATTCGAATTTGGGTTTTCAAAAGACATTGTTTGTTTGGATTGGATATTGTTGCAAAGAATTGAGAATTCTTTCTACATCTCTCTCTATCTCTCAATCTCAAATTTCAGTAATATAAAGCAAAGGAAAAGAGAGCAGCAATTCCACCATTGACAGCCATTAAAAAGCTTTGAAGCTTTGAATTCGAATTTGGGTTTTCAAAATTATTATTTGTTAGGATTGGGTGTTGTTGCAAATAATTGGGAATATGGTTTGGAGTTTATATCTCAATTTTGAGGGGTTTGGTGAATATTAGACTTGGTTTTGGCGGAATTTCATATTGAAACTCGAAGAAGAAGAAGAAGAAGAAGACATGACATACATTATATTGCAGAAATTGTAAAAAAATTGTAGAAAAATTGTAGAAGAATTGTATTCTGTTGTTTATTTATTTTTCTTTTATTCATTTAACTATTTAAGTGGTATTATATTGTAGTTGTATATAACTGAGTACAAATAATGTACGAAAATTGTAGAAAATTTGTAGATAAGTTGTATAATATATAATTAGTTGTATGAAATTTATTTTTACTATGTATAAATCATATACAAAATATACAAAAGACATATTGTATAAAGTTTGTATTTAAGTTGTATGTTATTGTAGTTGTATTTAACTAGGTAGAAGTAATATGTGAAAGTTGTAGATAAATTGTATGATATATAATTAGTTGTATGAAATTTGTTTTTACTATGTATAAATTAGATACAAAATATACAAAAGACATATTGTATAAAATTTGTATAAAAATTATATTTAAGTGGTATTATATTGTAGTTGTATATAACTGAGTAGAAATAATGTATGAAAATTGTAGATAAGTTGTATAATATATAATTAGTTGTATGAAATTTGTTTTTACTATGTATAAATCAGATACAAAATATACAAAAGACATATTGTATAAATTTTGTATAAGATTTATATTTAAGTTGTATTTAGCGGTAATACAACAGTCTTCTATTACAAGGAGTCTCAATAACATGTGAAATTAAAATAAACAAGCATAATGAATTTTCTTTATCGTACTTGTAAAAATAGATCTTAAAGATGGTGAATGTCTGTAGACTCTATACACTGTTAAGCAATGGAAACTTTCTAATGTTTTCGACTATTCCAATAAAAAGATTAAGACAATAAAGATGATTAGGAATAATTTCAAATCTTTGCAAAAGAAAGTGGGGAGCACGATAAAGATAGGTGTCAGCATGTAGACAATAGACAATTGAGACTTCCATTAATAAGTCAATAGCATATGCACAGTTGAATAGTCTCTGCTGAGATAAAGTCAAACAAGAACACATAGACCAAGTCAGTTGACCCAGAAAAATTCATAGATATTTTAAAGATCCACTGAATTGTGACATATGAGTGGAAACATAAGAAAAGAGAAGAGGAGGAAAAAAAAGGTGAAAGGTGTAACTAAATCCCTTAATTGAAGGCACTAATAATGGATTGGGAACCTTTTAAGGTGGAATGTATATATTTTGTAAACAAAACTTGTGTAGGTAGGGTAATTTACTAAACATGAACATTTAGGGTAATATAGTTTACTATATGGCATAGGAATGTAAAAATCCCTATAATTTATTGATACCTTTTGGATTGGAGTGACAAACGGGCAGGGCGGGACGGACCGGATATGGTTCGGGTCGAAAACAGGTAATGAAAAAACGGATAAATTATTCGACCCGACGAATATTTAATACAAATATATGGGTTAACCGGCGGATAATATGGGTAAACATATTATCCATGACTTTATGCATATGATCATTTTTGGGAGAATCCTTAGTCTCCCTTACTTGAGGAACTCCCAATTTGAGACTTTGCAAATGTAAATGTTAAGACTCATTGGTTATCCATTTTGTAAATAGATAATATGGTACTTATCCATAGTTGACCCATTTTTAAAAAGTTCATTATCCAACCCATTTTTACTGGATAATATGGATGGTTAACTGTTTACTTTTAACCATTTTGCCACCCCTACTTTTGGACAATGATATCTTAAGGTTATTGGAAGTTACTCTGATAAATACAAATATATATCCCTAACTATTGCACATAATGATTTTTTAACTCTAAATACAAATAAGATAAAGCTTTATGGCCGAGATTTTTGTGGAATCCAATGATGACTAATACGAGAAAATATGGTTTCACTTCCTTAACTATTACATACATCAATTCTTGTCGCACTGGTACCTCATAATTGATTGTAATGATTTTAATATCTTGGTTGCTGAGCAAAGGATTTCATACAATGATTTGTCTCTGCAAGAAAACTAGGCATAAAGCTCTTTTTGTCAATCAAAATTCCTTCGACGGAGACTAGTGCAAATGACACAAATAGGATTATTTGGGAGTGATTTTATTTTGTGTCTCACACAACTCACAATAGTTGTATGAGGCATTTTTTATCTCACATATTTGTAGACCCATATCTTACATATTTGGATCAACAAAATTCTGGGACCCATACAATTGTGAGACAAAAAAGAGACGTCACACAACTAGTGCCAGTTGTGTGAAACACAAAATAAAAAATTTCGATTATTTGGTGTCACTATCTAAATTTTGGCTCTGGTAAGAAAATAGTTTTTAATTCGATTATTGAAACATGTTGATTAGAAATTATTGGGCAAGTGTTATGGTAATTCATTAGAATCCTAAAGGTTGCTATAATTTTGCAAGTTATAGTAACCGTCACAAAATTATGATGGTCTCCATACTCTTGCAAGTTATGATGATTATCAAGATTTTCGATGTTTCAAAAATTTAACAAGCGTATTTTAAAATTCTGACTAAAGGTCATTTTCCAAAAAATTTCTTAACGAGGTCAAATTATAAAGGAAATTTTACCTTCTATAGCAAAAGTATAC